ACCAAGGTGGGATTGAGACAAATGTTGACATAAGAAGCGATGTTCCTCCTCCTTTTTTCTTTTGTGGCAATGTACCTAGTTTTCACAGGTAAACATTCATGTCAGTCCTCACAGCTGTCAGTGTCCAAGTTCTTGTCGGATGAGCGTGCTGTTTCTGAAGCAAAAAACAGAGACTCTTTGTCTTTGCAGTTATGAATGACATCATCACAACCATGTTCAATAAAAAATTTATGGAAGAGCTGTTTAAACCACAGGAACTCTATTCCAAGAAAGCTCTGCGAACAGTGTACGACCGGCTCGCTCATGCTTCGATCATGAGGCTGAACCAGGCAAGCATGGACAAGGTAAAAGACCACCTGCCCAGCCCTGACTGTGCTGTGCTTCCCTGCCACCGCTCACCAGTTTCTGAGTGCGGTAATTAGTAGGTGGCTTTACGTCACTGTAATTTTGAAGCATTCCGTAAGAGCCCTCTTTCCATTTGCTTTCTTTGTAAAAATTGTCCTCAGCCAAGGAAGTTTTGGGGAAATCCGTGCTGGTATCAGATACTTCAGAACTAAGTATTTCTGTTTTAATAGCTAACTGGTTGGTTTTAAGAAGTTCAGTTATCAGATTTTTTTATTTATATTAAAAATATATCCATATGTGGGTGTGTATAAATACATGTATTTCTATATTGATGCTCCCTGTTTTGCAGTTGCAGGGGTTAGAATTTTGACTGCAAACAGTATACCCAGCAGATGATTTTGGAAAAAATTGTAGGAACTGGATTACCTGTGAGAGCTCTGCCCGGGTGTCAGTGGTCTTGAAACTGGCAGTAGTTTTAAAGGCAGTTGGAAAGACCAGCAGGAGGGCTGACAATGTGATTGCAGATGTCTTATTTTTTTAGGAAACAAAGCTAAAATGGTTCTTCTTACCATAGGCAGGCACTAGCCTAAGTGTCTAAATCCCTTTCTACATCAACATGAAATTGCCTAAGCGATGTCTCTCGCTCTGTTGTGACAGAACCAAAATTTCCCCGTGTTGCTTTGCAGCTGTATGACCTTATGACTATGGCTTTCAAATACCAAGTGCTGCTGTGCCCTCGGCCCAAAGACATTCTGCTGGTCACATTCAATCACCTGGACGCGATCAAGGATTTCGTACGTGATTCTCCTGGCATTCTGAACCAGGTGGACGAAACTTTCCGACAGCTGATTGAAGTAAGAATCCTTAGAAAAATGGTGGGACACATTGTTGTTTGAGTTTTGGTTCTGCGGGGTTTTTTTAATCTTTCAAAGCTAATCCTAGAGACCTAATACTACCTCAGTAAGTGCCATATCAAGTGTGGAGGTTGACCTGTTCTCAACCTCAGAGAACCATCCAAATAACCTTCCCCTCTTTTTAACCAGAGGGAAACAAATTGGCCTCCTGGTTAGCAACTTTTGCTCATCTAACTGCTGTAATTCTTTGGACAAAGAATGTGAGTGTCCCATTGAAAGGGAACTGGGTTCATAAAATGTTAAAAGTTCTGGGAAGTCAGGAAATGTTTCCAAAGGGCTTCTGGAGAGGGAGATGTCCACAAGTCAAGTGTTATTTTTCTACTGGCCCAGTTTAAATCAATACGTTGCTTATTCAGCCTGATCAAAGTCTCCACTGACTTCAGCAGAAATTAAATCAGACCGTTAGTCACAGATAATAATTGCTGATAATGACCAGCAGCCCCCCCTTATATAATTTCTGCTTCCCCTGCCACACACGTACCATTTTTGGCTAGCAGTATTCTGATATGCCTGTTTCCACCTTTATCTGGTGGGACACAGTACACTCGCAAAGCCTTACATGATGTTTTTTTTTTTCTTTTCCAGACGTACAGCTGTCTTTCTGCGGGTGAATTTCAGCTCATCAGGCAAACCCTTCTCATTTTTTTTCAGGACATGCACATAAGGGTAAGAGCCCAATACAACTAGTCAGTAGAACAGAAGGGAGTTTGTGGCTAGAACACGAAGGTGTCTTGTCATAATTGCACTGTAAGTTTAGGGTTGTCACTTATGTTTTTCAGTCATCTTGATGTGCTTGCAATGTCAATCTTCAGAATTTTACAAATTGACGACATTGACTACAGTAATACTCAATTCTAAAATGTTATGAAAGAAGGAATATCTACTAGTATGGATTTGCTAGTTGATAAATATGGTTTTCCTTTTAGTAGAAACTTGATATGAAACTGAGAACCTGGGCTTGAAGTCATGGGGTGTGATACTCTCTAAATAAATTGATCATACTCAAGGGCATAAACAGTACACTTTTTCGGTAATGTTCCATCAGTGTGCCCATCCTCTGGACCACAGTTCTACATTACTGGCTTTGGCCTGTATCGTAGTCTCCATATATACATCAAAATCTTTAGGAAACCAATCGCCATCTAGGCAGGAAGGCTGCAAGGTCAGACTTCAAAGAATTCGGATCAGAAGATACGTAATTGATTTTTCTAGAAGGTGGAATATTCTTTTGCAGGTCTCTATCTTTCTGAAGGATAAAGTGCAAAACTCTAATGGTCACTTTGTGCTGCCAATATCAGGGCCTGTTCCTTGGGGTACCGAAGTTCCAGGGCTCATCAGGTGAGTTCTGAACTGCTGCCTATATGTTTGCGGTGCCTTGCACGTATGGCTGCTCACGAAGGAACAGTCAGTCCCAGAGGTCTGATAGGAATCGAGCTAGAACTGTCACTCATGTTGCATGGATAGCTGAACCTCCAGTAAGCACTATTTAAAGGGCAGGATTTGGGACTAAGTCACGCAGCAATTAAATACTAAGCTGTTTCTGGCATTCTGTAAATTAGCTATTAGTCTATCTAAATTAGATCCATTTACCAACATACAGAATAGGGGTTTATTCCCATTTCTCTTGTACAGTAAGCAGAGGAAATACTGAAAATCAGTAGTACTACTAAATATATTTCAATAATGACTTGTTTTTAAGGATGTTTAATCGCAGTGGAGATGAAGTTAAAAGAACTGAGTTCACCACTGATGGAAATTATGTTACTCCACAAAGGGAAGGATCTTTTGATCTTTATGGAGACAGAGTCCTCAAACTTGGAACGAATATGTAAGTAGTTTTTGTCCTACACAGAAACATGAAGTAAATGTTGATGCTTGTGGATTTGTTCAGAAGCACATCTTCAGCATTGTGTATTTATTTTTGCCTCTTTCACTATTATCAGCTTGATTTCTTTATGAAGAGATGGCCTGAAACAGAACACGTGTGGATAGATGTGTATAAAGAGCTGTAGTAAAGAGCAAAAGTTTGATTTATGTCTACAGTAGAGCTGAGTAAAGTGTTCTCACCTGGTACTGCATATCCTGTGAAATGTAATGTAATTTCAACTGTGTTCAAGAAATCCTTTCTTTTTTCCATGTTTGTCTTATGTAATTTTTCTGTTCACAGAGTCAGAGAAAGCAGTGTTCTTTCTTACAGCTTTGTCACTCATATGTTTAATGCCTCAATACTCCACAGAAGTGAACTGTAACTTCTCATTTCAGTAATTTACAGTCTTCACAAAAATATCCTGAAATCATATTTAGATCCTGTACTGCTCCTTCCAGTTCCTGTATCACATACAAGTAACAGGTTGCTCTTCCTCATTTGTTCTTCTCCCTAGGTACAGTGTTAGTCGGCCAGTAGAGACACACATGTCAGGATCATCCAAAAACTTGGCATCCCATGCAAAGGTCAGTGGTGTTCTGTTCCTGTCACTGGTTAACTGGCTAACTAGTCTGATTCAGAGTCTTGCAGCCATTCACACATGGTGGCAGCGTTTCCTTTGAGCAGTTTCACCACATCCACCAGATTTTACATCCTGCTTCCCTTGGCTCTTAATAGATGGGGACACTGAATGAAACACCCACACCCATCATCTCCACATCATTTACTATACAGTTGCACTATCTTCCCCTTTGTTTCCTTGAGAAAGGAGATGAACAATAACCATCATTTTAGTCTACACTTATGGGATAAATTTGGGGGAACCTGTTCACTTCTCCTCAGAGCCTCGTCTGATCTTCCATGGTCCTCCTTGAGCTAGGGGAAGGGCACGTTGTCTTAAAGAATCTTACACACAGGCTTATGCAATGGTGTACTTGCTTCCTATTTTAATCTCTTCAGAAAACAGAAAGCTGGTTCTACAGATTTCTCAGCTGTTCAATTTAGCTGGAAAATTATCTTGTCCTGGGTCTATAAATTCAAGCAACCATTTTAAATATATAGCTGATAATTACTAGTTATCTGCACAATCTGTACCAGTAACAATGCAGAAATGTATTTATATTGCTCTGAAGAACATTTATGTAATATCAGAAAACACAAAGTTATTGCAGCCCTCATCTCCCCAGTAACCTGACCAACGAACCCACTGCTGTTTTCTACAGGAGAATATAACCCCTAACCCTCTTGCTAAAGAAGAACTGAACTTTTTGGCCAGGCTGCTGGGAGGTCTGGAGGTCAAGAAACCTGGTGGCAGCGAGACAGGATTCCGACTGAATTTGTTCACAACTGACGAGGAGGAAGAGTATGCTCGAGTCCTTCTTGGTCTGGGGTTTGTGATGTAGTGCTACCTGGACAGCCCTGGAGACTAAGCCTGGCCCCTAACAGCTTTGGGGACAAAATAGCATGTTTTAGCGTGGTGGTGTTCTGCCGCATATGGTCCCGACAGGAAGAAAAGAGGAGCCATTTCCCTGGCTTGACCTTTTAAGGCTGTCGGCAAGGAGAGCCATTTCCCTTACTGGTGGGTGGCTCCTGTGACGCACAGCACGGCTTCGTGTTCCCTCCAGGTGACACTGGCGGGCAGTAGCAGGTGACGATCTGTGCGTGGTTCTGTCCCGTGGAAGAGACATGCCTTCAGCCCTTTTAGCACTCTTCTCCCCCAAATGCATCTACATATTTAAGATAAGAATATAACCGATGGAGGTGATGAGCCTCACAGGCTTGAACAGCGTAGCCCACTTCTGGCAGGGAGCACAAGGGTAATGAGGTTTTTTGTTAGGTGATTTCTGTGGAATGCTTTTACCTGCTTTTAATCTCAACTACAGGGATAGTCCCACTGTTCTACACTTAGCATTAAAAAAAAAAAAAAAATCTAAGGCAGGGCAAAGTCTCCAACCTGGGGCCAATACATTAATTTCCCTAGTAGGAAGAGGGATGGTGTCCAAACTTTATGCCTACAGAAGCCTCACGAAATGTGATTTTTGTAATTCACTTGTTTGTCTCATGACATTAAGCACTCTTTTCGTGTTTTTAATCAAGACACGCGGCATTGACTAGACCAGAGGAGTTATCTTACAAGGTTATCAACATAGAAGCCACGCAGGTACGTACAACGCGTTTCAGATCTTTGATTCTCATCGTTCCTGCCTTGCTGAGTTTTACCTAGAGTAGTAACTTTAAAAATACATTTTTTCCTATTTCAGTTAATCTCATAAATAAGTAATGGCAGTATTTCCTGCCAAACCTGTGGATTGGTGACTGTTTAATAAGAGAACTTGAAACCTGACAAAATTAGAGCAAGTTTTTAGCTGCATAGGATGGAAAACTGTTACCGCATCATTTGCCTGCTGTGGTTACAGCCTAACGCCTGCAGCCCTTCTTAAAGGGGTTCACGGGCACCAGCTGGCATTGGGCACATCCCAGTATCCCCAGTGTGTCCCAGTACAGGCCCACACTAGCAGGTACTGGGGTATGTCCCAGTACAGGCCCATGTTAGCGGGCAATGGGGCACGTCCCAGTTTTCCCCAGTACAGGCCCACATTAGCGGGCAATGGGGTGCATCCCAGTATCCCCCAGTACGTCCCAGTACAGG